ATTTGATGTTTTGCTAATTAGGATTAATTAAGTTAAGATTAGATTAATCTTGGATTAATTAATACAAACCCTGATTAACTAAGTTAAATAAGCTAGATTTGCTAAACCAAGAAAGCAAGCACCCCCTTACCATTTTTACCCTAGCTACACCAAATAAAACCATTGTTCATCAAAACCAAATAAAAGGAAAATTTGTTGGAGAAACTTAGAAGAAGCTAGAGAAAAGGAGAAGGAAAAGAAAGAAGAAGGAAAAAGAGAACAAGGAAGAACTTGAAGGAGATTCATCAAAACTCAATTGTTAATCAATCTAAGGTAGGATTTCTTCCCATAATCTTGTAATAGACCTCCCTAGCATCAAGAATCAAGAAGAAACTATAATCAAAATGACTTTGAAATGAAGAAATTGGAAGAAATAGAAGAGAAGTTGAGCTAGGAAAGATCATATGCTAGGAAGCTTGGGAAATCACTCTTTTGATTGAAGTTTTGATGTATTTGGTATATGAAGATATTGACCCTCAGATATTCTTGTGATTTCCAAGGGTTTTTAACATTAAATCCATGTTTTGAATGAAGGAAAGAAAAGTTTTGAAAAGTTTTGGAAAAGATTCAATTCTTGGAGTTCTTGATAGATTTAAAAAATTCAATCAATGATTCTTGAAATAGGTAAAGTTTTGATTTGAAAAATGTTTATATGTTCATGTTTCCTATAAATTTTGCATGTTTTTGGGTGTTTTAGCTTGAACCCTAAGTGTGACAACCCTGTTCTGGGTTATACTATTTATCCTTCATTATACTTGTGATTATGTGCTTAATATGATTTTGGGTGCTACTTATGAGATTATATGTGTTTTTGAATTCATATTTGTCCACCGTAAGAAAATCTATTCTGTATTCTGTCATAAACAGAAATTGAGGGTGTAGCAACAGAAACCAAAATTGATTGTACCATTGTGATTTGCATAATTTTTAGAATCTATGGTGTAATTTGATTAAAGTTTGATTCAAATCAAATTAATTAGATTATTTTAATTAAAATAAGCCTTAGATTAATTAATTGTCACGACCCAAACTTGCCCCTAAAAGTTTAGGTCATAACCGGCCTGCACTCTGACCTCAAAGACAAAATTTCAAAACTACTTATTCAAATATGGGGCTTTAAGCGTAAACAAATAAATAGCAGAACGTCCATTGAGCAGTGCGTATATGCCAGGATCATTAAACAACATATTCAAATGGTTCATATACACAATTCGTATATACAAGTACAAATCATATGCGCTAGTAATCCAAAGAAATTACACGTCCATAAGTGTTTAAGCAACAAGCTTCAAAAGACTAACAAATGTGGAGACAATTCCAATAGACGAAAGGCTCCATTTTGGAGGCTTAAGAAAATCGGTCCGTCAAAAGTTTCATGTGGTTGACCTAAGGTTGATCTCCAGATTGATCACCTACTACATATAAGATATGGAGTGAGCAAAGCTCAATGAGTAATAATAAAGTAAAGAGATCAAAGTGAATAATTTAGATTGAAAAGAAACATAACACAATACTCCTCCATAATTATATCATCCACAACATTATTCATAATGGTTTTTTACAAAATAGCCTCGGACCCAATCATATATCAAAATGGCCTCGGGCCCAATTATATATCAAAATGGCCTCGGGCCCAATCATATATCAAAACGGCCTTAGGTCCAAACGTATCATATCATGTCACGATATCTTATCATGGAGTAGATGGAACATCGACATGTCTCCATCTTTTCTTGGGCCCAATTCATGTATGTCTAGACCCAGGAGCTGACTCGTACGGATCCTAGAGATGACTCACACTGTAGCACTTAGTTCTGTACAACACTTTGTTCCATACCAAAATGATTAGGTTTTAAAGACTAAAGAATTCATATCATGCCATAGCATAAATGGAACGGAGAAACAGAACGGCCTTGGGCCCACCATATCATATTATAAACAATTCACATTTCTTATTCATGACTCATTTTACTTTTCTTGGAAACTTGTGCATTTTTAACAAAATACGATATTTAGATAATCATATCACACAATAGATAATGAAAAACATATCTTTACTATACTATTACTCACAGTGGTTTAGTCGAGCAACGGTCGCTTCCTGCAAGTGACCTTGAGCTAAGCCTTTAATTAATCTATCAATTTCTTCAATTTCCAAGCTCTTCTCATTTATCCCTCTCTTTTCTCTTCTTCCTCTCTCTCTTAGATGGGTCTCCAGAATTCTCCACTCAACATATGAGAAGATATGAGTTAAAAAAGAACTTGTATGATGTATAACTAGAATACTTGCCAGCCAAATGAGCCTTAACGAATCAGACTAAATCAATTTTCAATTAAATTGCCCGAATGGCTCTAAAAATTTCCATGAGCATAATCATGTACTCAATTTCAGTTTCTGAACTCATTAAGGTTGTCAATTTCAGTTTCAAAGTGTCAGCTCTAGGAGTTTTAGCCAAATAAAGTTAATTAAGTCATTACGAATCAAATTTTTATCAAACTTCATATTATATTCTAAAAATCATACTAATCATAATTGTCAAGTCAATTTCAGTTTATCGCGCCTCTAAGGCTTTCAATTTTCAGTCCAAAGGTTGTAATTTCAATAGATTTTCTTATAATCGACAGATACAAGTTCAGAAATATGGAGTTCATACATTTAAACATGTAATTTCACATCAAGCACATAAGTACATGTATAATCACACATATAATTAGGAAATTAAAGTAGATGAAATAGTCGGGTTATTACATTAATCTAAGACTTGATTAATTAGCTTAAGCTTGGATTAGTGAATCAAGTTAATGAAACCAATATATATGTTAATTAAGGGGCTTAACTCATATTTTTGAGTTCAAAATCTGCCAAGAGAGCTTTAGAGAGAGAGAGAAAACTTGATTGTAGAGAGAGAAAAGGCTTCGAAGCTTGGAATTGCTTAGCAGATTAAAGGATAGTGAAGATTAACTCAAGAATTACTTAACATAAGTGTTGATCAAGACTCTAGGTAAGCTTTGGAACCTTGATTTATGAGCTTAAGTCAATAATTATGTGTATTCAGGAAGAATTGGTGACTTAGTGCAAGATATGAATTTAATATGAAGAATTTGGTATTAAATCACTCATGCATGAATTTGGCGCTCGAGTGAACCCTGTTTTGAACTGCTCATGGCTTGAGCAACCCAAACTGACGCTCAAGCCTAAAATTCAAGCAACTAGTACTTTTGCAGAGCTTTGCAGACCGCTTGAGCAACTAAATTTGCACTTGAGCGAAGCGCTCTATTTCAGGAACTTTTGAAAAGTTGTTTTATTCTTCAATTTCCATTCTCTTTCATTTTTGAGCATTCTTAGGCACACATTGAGCATCCTAAATGAATTAAGAACACGAAAGAAGCCTAACAGAATTAAGCAAACTAAAGAATGGGTTGAATTGTATTATGACCTAATGTGTTATGAATTATGTAGGATCAATTGCAAGGACGAATCAAGCATCTGAACACTATGAGTAACATCCTAGTAAAGATATTTTTGTGTATCTATTATTTTCTAAATGTTACCCACGTGGTAAGTTTTTAAACTTATGAATTTGTACTATGAATAAGTATTCTATTTGTTTGATTCGCGATAGAATGTGTAAAGTGATTGATATATGAATATGACATTGGCCCAAGGCCATTTGGTATATTTGACAAGGATACAGATTGGGCCTAAGGCTGTTTGAAATGTTTAAAAAGATAGACTAAAGGTCATCTTATATATGAATTGGATCGAAGGTTGTTTTGTGTGATTATTAAGTGGACCAAAGGTCATTTTGAATATGAATACGGATGTGATCATGATCATGAATATGAATATGCGCATAAATATGAATATAAGAATGTTGGGCCTAAGGTCGTTTTGCCCCTTTGATAGGCCTTGAGCATAATAGGATGGACCTGAGGTCGTTTTGCTTTGATAATGATTTATATGCATTACGTATGAGTTTGGACTACTTATTTGAGGATCTCATTCATACAACCTCTTTACTCTGGTATTATTGACTGGGCATTAGCTCACTCTTTATTTATATGTATGCAGGTGAACAGCGGGATGTCCAGCCCCAGCCATAGTGATATGTGAGAAAACCGAGTTTTGAGAAGTCAACCAAGGTCGCCTCATGCAAGAGGCTTAATTTTGCTTTGTTTTTCTTTTGTTTCTTTTGTGGTCATGTTAACCAAGTTTGTAAATAACCTTGGTTGTGGTTTAGACTACTTTTGAATGATCCTGGACTCATATATATGCATATAGATATTCTGAATAACTGTCTGGTGTGAGTTATTATAAAAGTGAACTTTTGTTATGCCATGTATGCACAACTCATTGGACAATCTTTGCAAGTTTTGCTTCCGTATTTTGGCCTCCTATTCTTAAATATGATTTGAATTCTGTCTGAGGTCATAAGTAATCTCATGATTACTAGCCGGTTATGATTGTATTCCATAGGGGTGGGTTTGGGTCATGATAGAGTGGTATCAGAACACGAGTAATACAACTCACACAGTTGTCCAGGTGAGTAATATAATGTCTAGAAGGGGCTTAAGTTGCATTCATGCGATAAATATATGCTTGAATGCATTAAGAATATGAATAGGTGATTTGAAATATGCTACTACATGATATATGAATTGTTGCCTATTTGTATGTGCGTGCTCTTTCTGTACATGAATATTGTGTATACTTTCTGTATGAATTATAATGCAAGTCTCATCAAATATTGGTGAGAACAAGAGCCGATTAACTAGAAGAATCCTTCATTGCTTGATTAGACAGGATGGAGAGGATGATGTAGGACATGGTAGAAACACTGAGACAACAACAACAACGACAACAGTAGTGGCAACAACCGCCAACCCCACATTCGGTACAACTTGTGCAAGATTTGCAATATGATGATCAAACAATAGCTTTCACCAAAGAGTTTAAGAAAATGAAGCCACCACTATTTCACGGGGGAGTGGACCCGTTGAAGGTAGAAGCCTGGGTCCTTGGTATTAAAAAATTGTTTGAAGTGTTTCCATGCCTTGAAGCACAGAAAGTACAGTTGGCCACCTTTACACTAGAAGATGAAGCAAGAAGGTGGTGGATGTTGATTCGTGATGACAATAAGGGCATAGACTGGACATGGTTCCTTGAAATCTTTTTTGATAAATACTTTCCTCAATGCACTCGTGATAGAAAAGTATCTGAATTTGAGTGGCTTAAACAAGGTAGTATAACTGTGGTAGAATATGAGGCAAAGTTTACAGAGTTGGCCAGATTCGCATTGCATATGGTTAACACCGACTATAACAAGGCAAGAAAATTTGAGAGCGGTCTCCGCAATGATATTCAAGAGAGAGTGAATGTTCTAAAACTGCCTACTTATGTTGATCTGTTAGACCGGGCTTTAATGTCAAAAACTAATATGGCCAATTAGAGTAAACCACCAACCGACTTAAAAAGTAAGAGACATGACTTCTTTTCAAAGAAAGGATCATTGAGAAAGCAGAATACGGGATCCTCGAGCACTTCAGGCTCCACTAGAGATACAACACCAATATGTAGCCAGTGTGATAAGAAAGGGTTTGTTACTGTATTTCAGGGGCTTGCATTAAAGGTGGTGAAATAGGACATATGGCAAGAGATTACAGCCAAACTGAGCAACGAAGAAGTGGGAAATCAGTTGCTAGTTCGATTGGATCCATCCCAAAACCAGGGAATACCACAAGGCCTGTTACTACCAAAGACACAATGAGACAAGGGAGATTTTTTGCACTTGTCCCATGTGACGCATGGAATACTGAAGCTATTGTCTCAGGTACTATCTTTATATGTAATCAATATGCTTTTGTGTTAATTGATTCTGGATCCACACATTCTTTTGTGTCCACTATGTTTGTATCTAGATTGAATAGACCTCTAGAATCATTGCCATATCTGTTATGTGTGTCTGCTCCATCTGGGGAATCTGTGTTATGTACATCTGTGTATCGTATTCGTGATATGCATATCGGCAATGCTATTATATATGTGGATTTGTCGCCCCTGGACATTAGACATTTTGATGTAATTTTAGGAATGGATTGGTTGTCTAAGTACTGTGCTACTATTGATTGTGAAACAAAACAGGTTTTGTTTAGACCGCCAAGACATGATGAGTTTGTGTTTGTTGGTAATGGTGTAGTGCCTCTGCCTTATCTAATTTTAGCAATGAAAGCATGTAAATTGCTTGGGAAAGGATGTCAGGGTTACTTGTGTAGCATATTGATTGAACAATCTATGAATGTTGAATTAGAAAGTATTCCTGCTGTTAGAGACTTTCCGGATGTATTGCCAGATGAATTGCCAGGGAAATTGGTTGACAGGGAAATAGAGTTTACCATTGATATTGCACCAGGCACCCAGCCTATCTAAAAAACTCCCTACAGAACGTCTATTGTTGAAATGAAAGAATTGAAATAAAAATTGCAAGACTTGCTTGACAAAGGGTTTATCCGACTGAGCACTTCACCATGGGGTGCACTAGTATTATTTGTGAAAAAGAAAAATGGGACCTTACATTTGTGTATTGACTACCAGGAGTTGAACAAAGTAATAATCAAGAATAAATATCCATTGCCCTGAATTGATGATTTATTTGACTAGTTGTAGGGTTTACAAATGTTTTCAAAGATCGATTTGAGATCCGGATACCATCAGCTAAAGGTGAAAGTAGAAGATGTAGAGAAAACCGCATTTAGAACAAGGTATGGACATTATGAATTTTTGGTCATGCCATTTGGAGTGACTAATGTACCTGCAACATTTATGGATCTTATGAACCCAATTTTTAAATCCTATCTTGATGAGTTTGTTGTGGTTTTTATTGATGATATTCTGATATATTCAAAGAGTAGAATTGAAAATGAACAAAATCTGAGGACTGTCTTGCCAACACTTAGAGAGAAGAAATTATTTGCTAAACTAAAGAAATGTGAATTTTGGTTAGATGAAGTTGTATATTTAGGCCATGTTATTAATAGAGATGGGATTTTGGTAGACCCACAGAAGATAGAGGCAATTGTGAATCGGCCTACACCAACAAATGTAACGGAAGTCCACAATTTCATGAGTTTAGCTGGGTACTATAGAAGATTTGTGAAAGATTTTTCAAAAATAGCTATACCTCTTACCCAACTTATACACAAAGGACAACCATTTAAATGGAATGATGAAAGGGAATCTGCCTTCCAAGAACTGAAAACGAGATTGACTACTATACCAGTGTTGACATTGCCCACAGGTACAGAAAACTTTGTGACTTATAGTGATGCTTCTTACAAAGGTTTGGGTTATGTGTTAATGAAGAATGAGAGAGTAATTGCCTCTGCCTTCAGACAATTGAGATTGTATGAAAAGAACTACCTGATGCATGACCAAGAATTGTCTGCAATTGTGTTTGCTTTGAAAATCTGGTAGCATTATCGGTATGGGATGAAATGTGAAGTTTACACAAATTACAAAATCCTAAAGTAGTTCTTTACTCAAAAGTAGTTGAACTTGCGGCAGAGAAGATGACTTGAGCTGATAAAAGATTACGACCTCCAAACTCAGTATCACCTGGGAAAAGCCAATACAGTTGCTCATGCCTCAAACGAAAAATCAACAGGGAACTTGGCTTGCCTGCTGACTGAACAAAAGGAAATCTTGCAAGACTTTGAGAAGTTCAAGATTGAAGTAACGTTACATTAGCAAAGTGGGTTGATAACTGCCATCGCAGCCCAACCGGTGATGATTGATGAAATCAAACTAAAACAAAGGGAGGATGAGTTCCTCAAGAAAGTAATTAATGAATTTGAATAAAATTCGAGACCGGGGTTTAATGTGGAGAATGAAGTATTGAAGTTCCAAAACAGATTATGTGTTTTGAACATCCCTGAGTTAAATAAGAGAATTCTGGATGAAGCCCACAAGTTAGTGTTTGCAATGTATTCGGGCAACTATAAGATGTATCGAGATTTGAAACAAAGTTATTGGTGGTCTAATATGAAATGGGAAATTGTAGAATATGTGTCTAAATGTCTTCAATGCCAGCAAGTTAAAGCTGAACATCAGAAGTCGACATGCCTACTTCAACCTCTCCCTATTTCAGAATGGAAATGGGAGCACATAACCATGAACTTTATTGTTTGACTACTTCGAACCCCGAGAGGTATGAATTATATCTGGGTTATAGTTGATAGACTGACTAAATCTGCACATTTTCTTCTTGTAAGAACTACTTATGATGCTTATAGACTTGTCACTATATATGTTGATGAGATTGTCCGTTTACATGGTGTGCCGGTGTTTATCGTGTCGGATAAAGATCCGAAATTTGTGTCTAGATTCTGGAAATGCCTTTAAGCGGCGATGGGGACAGAACTTAGATTTAGTACTGCATTCCATCCGTAAACTGATGGACAATTAGAGCAGCCATACAGACTCTTGAAAATATACTTCGAATGTGTGCCTTAGATTTTCAAGGGAGTTGGGAAGATTACTTACCATTGGTAGAGTTTCCATACAATAACAGCTCCCACTCCAGCATTGGCATGGCATCATGTGAAGCCTTATATCGAAGAAAATGTAGATCACCGGTTCGTTAGATAAAAGTCGGGGATAGAGTCTTGCTTGGACCTGAAATTGTGCAAATCACCATCAAAAAGATCAAAGTTATTTAGCAAAGGCTCAAGGCAGCACAAAGCAGACAAAAGATCTATGTGGATGCTAGAAGAAGGCCACTTGAATAAGAAGTTGGCGACCATGTATCCATCCGTGTAATTCCAATGAAGGGCCGGTTGAGATTTGGCAAGACGGATAAGTTATCACCTCGTTACATTGGGCCGTTTCAAATTGGGCCGTTTCAAATCCTAGAGAGGCTTAGTCCAGTTGCTTATAGTATGTAACAAATGCATAACGTGTTCCACATGTCAATGTTGAGAGGCTACGTCTGGGATTCGTTTCATGTAATAGACTACCACCGGATAGCTCTTGATGAAAATATGGAATACAAAGAATGGCTAGAACGAATCATTGACTGACAAGTAAAGCAACTGAGAAACAAGTACATTCCAATGGTAAAACTGGAATGGAAAAAACATTATGGAAGGGATGCCACATGGGGAAAACAAGAGCAGATACGATAACACTACCCACATTTGTTTCCAATGACCGAATTCCCTAAAGGAGGAGGAGAATGTGATAACCTGTTTGTGTTATACTGTTTATCCTTCGTTATGCTTGTGATTATGTGATTAATAAGATTTTAGGTGCTACTTATGTGATTATATGTGTTTTTGAATTCATATTTGTTCACCGTAGGAAAATCTGTTATGTATTCTGTCATAAACTGCAATTAAGGGCGTAGAGACGATAGAAACCAAAATTGACTGTACCATTATGATTAGCATAATTTTTAGAGCCTACGGTGAAATTTAATTAAAATTTGATTCAGATTAAATTAATTAGATTAATTCAATTAAAATAAGCCTTAGATTAATTGAACTAAGCCTTGATTAATTAGCTTAAGCTTGGATTAGTGAATTAAGTTAATGAAGCCTATATATATGCTAATTACGGGGCTTAACTCATATTTTTGAGCTCAAAATCTATCAAGAGAGAGAGTTTTAGAGAGAGAGAAAACTTGATTTTAGAGAGAGAAAAGGCTTGGAATTGCTTAGTAGATTAAAGGACAGTGAAGATTAACTCAAGAATTTCTTAACACAAGTGTTGATCAAGACTCTAGGTATTTGAACCTTAATTTATGAGCTTAAGTCAATAATTATATGTATTCAAGAAGAATTGGGGGCTTAGTACAAGATACGAATTTAATATGAAGAATTTGGTATTAAATCACACATGCATGCATAATTTTGTTAACTCTTATGAATATAAGTATCGTTTATACCATTTGAGATGGAATTAGAGACTATATTTCACATGCTTGCATAATCCATGAAGTTATGGAACTTGATTGCTTGAGTTTTGAAGTTATCAAGTAGGATTTGAAATGATGTGGGACTTGCATGATAAATTCATGATGAATTGAGCTTCAATCTTGTAGAATTGACTCATATGATCATGTTAGTAGTTGTATGGCTCAAATATAGGACATAATATGCAAGTTGTACCATTGAAAACCATATTTTGAAACCTAAATAGCATTTTGGAAAACCCAGAAATCGACTGCATTGCTTGAGCGGTGAAATTACTACTCGAGCATAAATTGAAGGCATCTAGTATTTTTGCAGACAATTGCACGGTGGCTCAAGTGGAAAAACTTGTGCTTGAGCGAACCCTGTTTTGAACTGCTCATGGCTCGAGTGACCTAAACTTGCGCTCGAGCCTAAAATTCAAGTAACCAGTACTTTTGCAGAGCTTTGCAGACCGCTCGAGCGACCAATGTTGCGCTCGAGCGAAGGGTTTTGTTTCAGGAACTATTGAAAAGTTGTTTTATGCTTCAATTTCCATTCTCTTTCATTTCAGAGCATTCTTAGGCATACATTGAGCATCCTAAATGAATTAAAGAACACGTAAGAAGCCTAAGAGAAGTAAGCAAACAAAAAAACGGATTGAATTGTATTATGACGTAATGTGTTGTGAATTATGTAAGGTCAATTGCAAGGTCGAATCAAGCATCTGAACACTGAGAGTAATATCTTAGTAAAGATATTTTTGTGTATGTATTATTTTCTAAATGTTACCTATGTGGTAAGTTTATGAACTTATGAATTTGTACTATGAATGAGTATTCTATCTGTTTGATTCGTAATAGAATATGTAAAGTGATTAATGTATGAATATGAAATGGGCCTAAGGCCGTTTGGTATATTTGACAATGATACTGATTGGGCCTAAGGCCGTTTGGAATGTTTGACAATATAGGCTAAAGGTCATCTTATCTATGAATTGGACTGAAGGTCATTTTGTGTGATTATTAAATGGACCAAAGGTCGTTTTGAATAAGGAATTGATTGGACCAAAGATTGTTTTGAATATGAATGCAGACGTGATCATGATCATGAATATGAATATGCGCATAAATATGAATATAAGAATGTTCGGCCCAAGGTCGTTTTGCCCCTTTGATAGGCCTTGAGTATTATGGGATGGTCCTGATATCGTTTTGCTTTGATAATGATTTATATGCATTACATATGAGTTTGGGCTACTTATTTGAGGATCTCATTCATGCAACCTCTTTACTCTGGTATTATTCACTGGGCGTTAGCTTACTCTTTATTTATATGTATGTAGGTGAGCAGCGGGATGTCTAGCCCTTGCCCCAGTGATATGGGAGAAAATCGAGTTTTGAGAAGTGAACTACGGTCACCTTATGCAAGAGGCTTTACTTTTGCTTTGTTTTTATTTTGTTTCTTTTGTGGTCATGTTAACCAAGTTTGTAAATAACCTTGGTTTTGGTTTAGACTACTTTTGAATGATCCTGGACTCATATATATACATATAAATATTCTGAATTACTATCTGGTGCGAGTTACTATAAAGGTGAACTTTTGTTATGTCGTGTATGCACAACTCATTGGACAATCTTTGCAGGTTCTACTTTGCGTATTTTGGTCCCTATTCTTAAATGTGATTTGAATTATGTCTGAGGACATGGGTAATCTCACGATTACTGGCTAGTTATGATCGTAATCCATAAGGGCTAGTTTGGGTCATGACACTAAGCTTCAAAATGAAAGGAGAAGAGTTAGAATAAATAGGTTTTTTGGACAGCAGGTTTTTGCCCAGAACCGCACGTGCGGTGGGACTTCCTGCACGTGCGGCAACTTTACTTGTGCAACCATTTAGCTACTGGAATAAATGCACATGCGGCCCGCACATGCACCAACATTTCCGAACGTGCAGAAATCCCATGTTTTGTACGCACTTTTGTTTCGCAACCCTTTTCACTTAAACCACTTTTTAAACTCTTTTAACACTTAGTAAAGGACAAAATTAGACCTACACTTAGAAAGGTTTAAGGGAAACTTTAAATATTTAATTTATTAGGTTTGTTTGAGTTCGCTTTACGTTTCAATATTATGCTATTGTTTAATGTAGGTTAAGCTTTGGAAGGAGGAAACCCCTTATCAAACGAGCTATTTGTGAGTAGTAATTTAGTAACCCTTTGTTTGTTCAAATTATGTTTCTAATGCAAAACTTGATTATGTTTATAAACTTGACATGTTTTACTATGAATGAACATTCTATATTCTTGTATTATGTACTTAGATGGCATTTATGGATGAGGCTCATTATTGGGGGAATATCTAATCATGTATCATGGCCGAGCTTATCTTATTATGTTTAGTCGGTAATTGGGCCAACTAAGCACCTTGCCATCCTTAGAATGCTCATCATTATACGTTTTGTTTGCAAGCCAAGCTATGTTTTTTCTTGTTAAACGTATATGCTATTTTGAAAGAATGTTTAAA